CGTTTGTTCGCATGTCCGAATGAACACATGTCGCCACGCAGTTTATTCCGACGCGCGGTTTTCAGCACGTCTTGGGGAGGGTGCTTCGGCCACCAGGGCAAACTCTGCCTCGGGCGCAGGTTTGCCCATGGTTTGCCGCGGTGTCGGCTTCGTCCACTCGAGCGCGTTCAGAACAAACGGCGCGGCGGCACATAGTTCGCGACCCATAAGTTGCACCATATCGATCGCAACGCTTGAAACCCACCACAGTTGTTTCGGATGACATCGGGAGATCTTGGCGCTCACACGACCCCACGAAGGAAAACGTGAAGGTTCCCCTTTGGACACAACGTTGGCCCATGACATTCCCGAATTGGCGACCGTGGCGTCAGCGAAGGTCCCAGAGGCCCGACGAGGCTTTTCAAATGCTGGAAAGAAAGCTGTGATGTCCGAGGAGTACTATGGAGAGTTTGACTCCACGGGAGGAGCCAGCCACAAGCGAACGAGTCGGAAAGATGTACTCGATCGCCATCGTCCTAGACCTGAAACCCTCGGGCGCAAAAATGCGTGGGTGAGGGAGGAAGGAGGGCGAGAGAGGGGGGGGAAAGGGTCATTGAGGGAGAACCGAGAAGCCACGGAGGGGAGAGGAGGGGCGGGAGGGGGAAGGGTCGGAGGAAGGCGATAGGGGAGGGTTGGAAGGGTTCAGAAGCGAAAGAAGGACGCACACGCACATGAGTCCACGTTGTTCTCGAGGGCACCCATGGCGCGAATGTTCGCATCACGCGGACGGTCTCGGGGATTGGGGGGCCGTGTCCATGCACGTGGGTGGGCGCGTGCGTCTTTCGTGGGGGCCCCCTGAGGGTGGAGGTCAGGCTGGTCTCCGGGAGGGATCAGCAGGCAGGAGAAGCCCCGAAAGCGGAAAAAGCCGTAAGTCGGGCCTGTCCCTCTACAGGAGGAATATTCAAAAAGAGTCAAAACACAGTCTGGGGACACTTGTTTGTTGCATGTTTGATTATTTTGTTGGGCATGTTTGCGGTATATTGTTTTACTCGTCGTCCAAAATCCCCCTGTAGGGGGACATGCCCGACCTAAAAAAAGCCCCGAAAGCGGTTAGGAGACGAAGAAGCAGGGTTTTTGTTGGGGATTGGCTCCTCGCTGAAGCACACGGCTTGTCGAGACTGGGCGGCGCTGCAGCTAGCATCATATTAGTATGACAAAAAACTTCTGCACGGGCACCAAGGACGCAAGGACAGTAGTTCTCCCCCCAAGGACGGACGGGCACCAAGGACGCAAGGCACCAAGCAGGGGGGAGGGAGGGAGGGAAGGATCTTGTGGGATTGCGCAGCAGGTTCGGCCTGCTCGGGTGACGGGCCGGGTCGCCCGACGCGTCGAGCAGAGAGCAGGGGCCGACGCCCCGAAGAGTTGCGTCGGCTCGGGCGCCAAGGCTGCGGTCTCGAGCTCTGCTGCGCGCCGCAGCGAAGGAGGCAGAAAGTGCGGCACGGTAGCCTCATGAAGTATTTGAGACCCCCCCATTTCCCCTTGCGGCTTAAGGGTAGCGCTTCCGCACGGGAGAGCGCGACCCACGCACCGGAAGGATGCTGAGGCTATCGCCTTAAGCGCCGCGCGCATTCGCTTCAAGAACTTGCGGGGGCTTCGCGGATGGAGGGCGGCTCGAACACGACGCAGTCGCGGACGAGGACCCCGTCGGAAGCCTCAGAGGAACGACAGAGCAAGATGGTTTGTTGTGCATGGTCACGTGATCCTCGAAACTGCAAGGGCCCTCAGGCTGGCTGTTCCAGGCCGGTGCTACGTATCCAAATATCTGGTAGCCTTAGGTCGGGCCTGTCCCCCTACGGGGGGATTTTAGACGAAAAACTGAAAATACCCAAAAGATATTCGAGAGCCCAAAAATACGCAAAAAATACTCGCCAGACTATTGTTGGACTATTCTTGAACATTCCCCTAGAGCACGGAGGCTCCCGCCTCCGCGCCGCGCGCAGAGCTGCGGGAGCTCCACGGACGGAGGGCGGCTCGCTGCTCCCGCCGCGGCGCCGCGCACGCACTCGTTGCCAAGAACGGTGCGGAGGCTTCACGCATTGAGGAAGCCTCGTTTTCAAAATTCGGGGGAGCGTAAGACCCGGGTTTGCCAGGACTCGGGTTCGCCATCGTTCTTTGACGACCGCGCCTCGGATTTTGACGAGGAGGAGTTTCGTGGGATGTCTGCAGCGGGAGGCCTCGTCAAAATGCAGGTTCGGCCTCGTCATTTTTTGACGACCTCGTCGTGGATTTCCGAGTCCCCTGTACCCAGGTCTTACGTCCCCCTGAATGGAGGGCGCCGCGTTTTCAAACTGTGGCTCTCGCCTCGGCGCCGGGCACATCCGTTGCAAAAAAAACGCTGCACGAGCTTCACGGAAGGGCGGCCCGTGTTCCAAATGTGGCTCTCGCTGGAGCGCCGCACGAATTCGTTCAGCTTTTTGCAAGAGCTTCACGCATTGAGGGCGCCTCGTTTTCAAACTGTGGCTCTCGCCTCGGCGCCGGGCACATCCGTTGCAAAAAAACGCTGCACGAGCTTCACGGAAGGGCGGCTCGTTTTCCAAATGTGGCTCTCGCTGGAGCGCCGCACGAACTCGTTCAGCTTTTTGCAAGAGCTTCACGGATGGAGGGCGGCTCGCTTTCAAAATGTCGTTCTCGCGTCAGCACCGCGCACGTTCGTTGCAATAGCGGTGCAAGAGTTTCACGGATTGAGGGCGACTCGTTTTCACAATGTTGTTCTCGCTTCGGCGCTGCGCACCATCGATTTTACAATTTGCCAGAGATTCACGGACTGAGGGCGGCTCGTTTTCAAAATGTTGTTCTCGCTTTAGCGCCGCGCACATTCGTTTTGATAAATTGCACGAGTTTCACGGATGGAGGGTGGTTTGTTTTCAAAATGGTGTTCTCGTTTCATCGCCGCGCACATTCGTTTTGAAAAATGTTGCAACAAGAGCTTCACGGATTGAGGGCGTGTCGCTTTCAAAATGTTGTTTTCGTTGCAGCACCGCGCACATTCGTTTTGAAAACGTTGCAAGAGCTTCACGGATGGAGGGGCGTCCGTTTTCAGAATGTTGTTTTCGTTGCAGCACCGCGCACATTCGTTTTGAACAAACCGCGCGGTGTTCACGGGCGCCGTGGCGCGCGCACTTGCCATGACGTGCACAGTCGCTATGGCGTACGCAGGCGTTGTGGACCCAACATATCCCAGCGTTCCTGGGGCCAGAAGGTCAAATAATCACAACCAACTCATATATTGAATTTGATACGCTCGGCCCCCCAAGGATTTTCCGGAGCTTGGCCCCATCGGTATTGCCTTCAGGCGTGCACGCATTTTGCGGTGTGCGCAGGCGTTGTGGTGCGCAGGGGGTGGTGCACGCAGGCGCCGTGGTGTGCACAGATCGCGCGATGTACAAAGGCGTCGTGGTGCACGCGGTTATTACGGTATACGCAGTCGCCGTGGTGCTCACACACACACACGACTTCTGTACAGAGCCCGCGCTGCATTGTACAGAACCCCCGCTGCATGCACAGGCGCTGTGGGTTTGGGCGGCGACGACGGCGACGGCGACGACGACGACGTAAGCGGCGCGCCTCAGGGGGTGCGCGCCGCGGCCCCAGTTACCGTTACCCCCCCCCACGCCCCCCCTCCCCCCCCGGGTAACATACGCTATCACCCAGAAATGGAAAAATGGCCGTAGACGCGCCAACGGTGTGTTAGCTAACGTCGAAGTAGGAAATCCAATTGTAGGAAAGCGCGGTTTGTGACCAAACCATTTGTAGGAACACGTGGTTCGCGTTTTCCTGCAATTCGCTTTGTCGTTGTCGTTCGGTACATTGGCATATTCGGAAAACAGCCTTTCGTGATTTTCTACATGCTGTTCTTCGTGAGCGTGGTGTCACAATAACCCGATTCCCCACCGCACCGTTAACCAAACACGCCGTTAGCGCGGCCTTGGACGAGAGCAGCATAGCTAACGCAACACAGGGGGGAGGCACATGCAGCGAGACGGCGAGGCGGGCGGGTCCTCGGCTGCTTCCCTGTGCAGAGGCCCTGACGCGCAGGAAAGGTCGCGGCCTTCGACCACGCCTAAGTCGGGCACGTCCCTCTACAGGAGGAGTATTCAAAAACAATCAAACATTGTCTGGGACGATTTCGTTACCATGTATGACTATTTTGAATACTTCTGATTACATTCAGCTGATATTCAAAAACCCGCTTGCGAGAGGACATGCCCGACCCAACGCCACGCATCACATGCCTGGGGCGGGAAGAAGCCTTCTGCCCCCAGACGGCACCCCAGACCCCCTCGCGTTATGAAAAATCACGAGGGGGGGGGGTCGCTATGTTCGGCCTCTCGGGGCCCTTACGGGGCCCCCAGGCCGTCGCAAAACGACCCAGGATGAGAAATTGGTCCCGGGAAGGGGTCCAGACCTCTGGGGGTCGACGTTGTGAACAAATCACGACGCCGGGGGTCTAGGACGAGAACGAGACGGCGGAGGGACCAACACCGATCTTCGCACTGAGACTCAAGGGAGGAGGTACTGCAGCACCACCTCCTGCCAGCCAGAGCGCCTGGACTGAACTGAACGGCTGCATCGACCCCCGTCTCCTGAGCCCAGACGGAGGAAAGCACCACCGGCTATCTGCACGCCAGGCAGCCTTCGGCGTCCCGTGCGGCGCCAGGCGCAGGCACACGGGCGGAGGGACGAGGACCTGCGGGTGCGGCAGGGAGGGAAGGGAGGGAGGGAAGAGAGGGAGGGAGGGAGGCTGGAGGATGAGTGATGAGTGGGAGGGAGGTGAAAGGAGAAGGGAGGGAGGGAGGGAGGAAGGGGAGGAGGGAAGGAGGGAGGGAGGGAGGAAGGGAAGGGAGGGAGGGAGGGGGAGGAGGGAGGGGGGTTGGAGGAGGAGGGGGGGAGGGAGGAGGAGGGGCCCCCGCGCCAGTCCCCCCCCACCCCCTGGAGAGAGAGGGAGAGAGACGGCCCCGCAGGTCTCCAGGAACTGCGGGGTGCTGGTCCGCCCGCCCGCCCGCCGCCGCGGGGAGGGAAGAGGGTCGGTCGGTCGGTCGGGCCCGGCTCTGGCGGGCAGCCCGCATGCCGCTGCCCAGCCCAGAGCGAGATTCGCGCGCCCTGAATGCAGGCGCCCTCCGCATGCGAGGAGGGGGAGGAGGAGGAGGAGGAGGAGGATGAGGGAGGAGGAGGAGTAGGAGAGGAGGAGGAGCTGGTGCATAGGTCCAGAATCGGCCACGCCGTCTGCCCAGCCCCTCCGTGGGTCGGCATAACGGGGTTGCGGAATGGTTCTCCCCCCCCCTGCCCCGTTCTCCCCCTTGCTCCTCCTCCTCTCCTCCTCCTCGTCCTCCTCCTCCTCACAGCCCTCGTACCTTTAACTATCAACCCTTCCGGAGAGGAATGGGCGTTAGTTCATCGTGGTTCTAGATGACACCAGTGGGACCATTCAGTGGATAGATGCCTCGAAGTTGTATCTCGGAAGGTGCTGAGCGAGAAGTCTCCTGGCAGCATGTAGGTGAGTTCACTAGGCATGCAGTCAACGAAGGTGAAGTTGACCTGGCCGCCATGATGAGAGTTGTTGCCTGTGGCGGTATTTGGCCAGAAGAAAGGAAGCATGAGTGCGCTCTCGTTCCTGACCCCATGTGCCAGCGCTGCCTGAGAGGCAATGCCCTTGCAATGCCGATAGCGAGCTTGTCAGGGCCTAGGCCAGTGAGCATGTTCTAGGCCAGTGAGCATTTAATGCATGAGGCTGTCGTCGAATTCGAAGCCCGCCCAATCTTTTGGGGCCAGGGGCTAATACCCCTTGGTTGGTTCTTCCTCCCTCCTCCGCCTGAGCAGCGTTTCCTTGAGTACCACGGGTGTGAGCCCTCGGAACCCTTGGAGGCATTTACAAGACTGACGGTGCAGGAGCTGCTTGGTCTAAGCATCTTGTGTTGCGCCAGGCGGCCTTCGCTTTCGTGAGGTTTGACGCTTCCGGGGATGACTTCTACTGGAGCCATAGGGTCACGGGTCTGGTCGAAGGCAACAGGCAGACGGTCCCAACGGCTGAGCTTACAGGCCTGATCGAGGCCGTTCGCCATGTTGCCAGAAACGAAGTTTTGACTCTCGCCCACCATAAAAGAAGGCACCATATTAATCGCCTTGCCAATGCAGATCTGTGGTGGGAGTTATGGCACCTTGTTGATTTGCGCACGGCTGAAACTCATCTTGTGCATTGCCCTCTCGCCGCGATACTGATGACAAGTTTCGCAGGTTTTGGCGCACGCCAGTCGCAGAGCATGTGGATGTCCATCGTGCTGCGGGCCGTCATGCTGACCAGCGTGTCGAGCCTGCTCGGATCCAGTCTCATATCCGCCGAGAGGTGCGAGCACTTGACGAGAAGGCGAAATCTGTCCTGCTGCGCATGGCCTCCCTCACCGTTGCGATGGCGCCCCGTCCGAAGGATCGCTCGCGCGTTGTCGCCAAGATCATCGTGGAACCTAAAGAGAAGGCCGAGCAGCGCAGGCTTGAATTCATTCGAGCCTCGTCTCACCAGTTTTGCAAGGATGCAGGCACTTCTTGAAGGTGCTCTGGGTGCGGTCTCACTGCTCGGGTCTCACTGCTCGTGAGAAGCCGAGAGATTTTCGGGACTCCGTTTTATCGGCTTGCCCCGCCCTTGCTCCCATGCCTCCCGTCACGCTCCCCAGGGTTGTCCCGTCCCTGGAGCCCGAGGTCCCGTGGATGAGTGGCTTTCCGTCGTCTGGGTTTGGAGGATCCGCCCCAGAGAGTTGCCCACCCTGCCTTTTATAGGTGGACAGCAGCTAATTTCAAGTCACGAGCTCTGATTTAAGGGACGCTTTGTGTTGTGTGGCCTGTGCGGGTCCTGTGCCGCCCAGCGGCCAGTCAACCTTTTGATTGGTTGGCATGTGGCCATAGAGGGCCCACACAAAATCTCCCCGGAGCAGTTGCAGGCGTTCCAGCGAGCACGCAAGGGTAAGCCGCCTCAGCAGATTGCCTCTTCTTGGGGTGAAGATTGTGCCCTGGAGCTTTACGTTCGGGCGTAGCCCGAATTTGCTTCTCGCGAGGCAAGCTGACTGAACCGAACTGAGCTGAATTGGACCGACCTGAACAGACTGGTCGCAACCGTTACGCGACGGTCTTATTCTCTGCCGCCAGCGGCGCAAGCTGTGGCGTAATTGACAGGAGACGGCTTTATCATCAGCAGCCGAGGGCGCAACCTATGGCGCAACCGATAGGACGTGGCTTCATTTTCGGCCGCCAGCGGCGCAACCTATGGCGCAACCGTTAGGAGACGATGTTATTCTTAACCGCTGAGGACGCAACCTGTGGCGCAACCGTGAGGAGACGGTTTTATTCTTAGCCGCCGAGGGCGCAACCTATGGCGCAACCGGTAGGAGACGGTTTTATGATCGGCCGTTGAGGGCTCAACCCATGGCGCAACTTATAGGAGACGGTTCCATTCTCGGCCGCCGAGGGCGCAAC